GTTGAGATAGATTTGTGTGATTAGTAGTATGCCGTTGAATTAACTCTTAAACCTTCACATGGTATCAGAGCCCTAACGTCGTATTACGCGATACAATCCCATCTCGAAAATAGGACATAACAATATACCTAGGTTTCAGTCATATAACATTAGTAGTTAGGGACAATATCCAAAGTCTCTCATTGAATTATTCCACTCCTAATTGCACTAAGGCTTTTTGTGATAAAACTAACAAATGCCAAACTAACTGTGCATCTAGTTAAATTGGGATAACATCAGTGTGATTAGCAATAATCTACCAGCTTGACTTTGAGTTCTTGACATTAATCATCCCAATTCTTATACATAGATATTACCAGAGATAGACTATCAATCATGTAAACATATATATAAAAGAGTAATGTTGATAGAAATAGTAGTTTATTTTAGATCACTAAATCTATGTTACCTATTAATAAAACTCTGTTTGTCAACTAAAACTTTTTGAAATTACTATTCTAACATTCTCAACAAAGCTAAACAAAATTAAAAGACATGACAATTTAGTAATTCCATAGCGAACAATACTTGGCTACTAAAATATGAGTAGACATTCTTACTCAAAACTTTTAGTGTTTTAATCACATAATTTTGTGTTTATGATCAGAACTGTTCATACTATGAATCACATTATAAAGATCATTTCTGCAAAAAAAATAAAAATAAAAAATAAAATAAAAATAAATAAAACTAAGGTCATTTAGTCAATCTATTGTAGCAAATACATAGATGGTTCGTAATGCTTTTACTGATTCCGTTCATTTGTTTTTAAATAGTTTGATGACTAAACGCCTTAGTTTTAATTGATTTTTTGCAAAGATGTTCTTTATTGAGTGATTTATAATATGAACGATTCTGATTATAAACATTAAGTTCTATAAATTGACAACGAACAATTTTGAGAAAGAGTTTCTACTCATCTTTGAGTAGTCTAGTATTGTTCTTCCATAGCACTCAAATTTTCTGTTTTTTACACGAACCTCACAGTTGGTAAACATAACATATCCTATTTAAAAAATAAAATATTGGAGATTTTTTTTTTAAGCCCATGTCTCCCACTTCAAAACCGCCCCCTAACCCGCTTCTTCAAAGTCCCACGCCCATTTTTTTTTTAAGAAGTGATATAAATATTTTTATAACAAATAGTACACAAATTTAATTACACACGTATAACGCATATGATTAGTAGTTTTTATAATAGGATTTGATCAAAATCAACATTTTGATACTAACTTTGCCATCAATCTATACTTGAAATACAAATTAATTATTGACCCAAGCTAAACTTCTTATAATTTTTTTGAGGTAATCCAGACAATTAATCACTATTTAAGGTTTGTAGACAAATTAAACATTTTCATCAATTTCGTTGACAAACATGCTAGCAAAAGTTTAGGGTAAATTTTAATATTTCATAATCTCAAAACAAATTTCTCCTTGTTTTGGCCTGTTTTCTCTGAAGGAGAGAGGTTGTGACAAAGAGAGTTGAGGAACTTCTTAGATGTGTATTTCTCATTTCATCGACCTTTAATTATTTATAGTAAACTAAAAAGGATTACTTGCCTTCCTGGGAGTACAATCATAAAGGGATAACATCTTCTAATATCCTAAATACAATCTACTTACACGACTACACAGTGTTACATTTTATGTCACAATACACACTATTTAATTACAGGGTGTTTAAAGGAAGATATCCCCATTTAAAAAAAAAGGATTAGTTGTGGGCCCACACCACATCGAATTTCAATGATCCGAACCGTCTCTTTTTTAAGTTAGTCCTCATAGACCATTCTTGCAAAATATTAGCCTAATTGGAAATATTTGGTACAACTAATTGAGTTCAAATAAATTAACGAACACTTTGTTCTATAAGAAACGATGAAATTTCATCCATGATAATTAAATGGGCAAATGGTTTGGATTAGTATGAATTTTTGTCAGGATGATCTATGAATCGAGACCTACAAAATAGACGATTCGGATCGTTGAAATTCGAAATGGACCCTACAACAAGTCTCCCAAAAATGGGATCCCTTTGGATAACGGCTTCTCTATAAGGAGGTATTTCCAATCAAAAAAGATACAAGACTAATTAAAGCAAAAATATATCAAGCGTTATTGAACAAGCAAATCTAATTCACAAGGAAACAAAACCTAGATCTTGTTTCCTTCAAATTAAAGCGTAATTTTAAAAAATAACCACGAGTTGATGACCCAATAATAAAGGACGGATTGCGAGGCTTCCTTCAAATTAAAAACTGGAGGTCTCGGGTTTGAAACCAGCGCCAGACTTATGGCTAGGATGAGGCTGAAATGCTTATGTGAGTTCTGGCACTTGGAAGAGGTGGATAACCGTGGTTTGTTACTAGTTATCATCTTTAAAAAAAATATAAAACAAAAATGCTAATCTAACCATTTATTTTTACCATCCCTCCAATTAGATGAGACCCACACATGTTGATGAGTCTACCTTTATTAGAGGGATGATACAAATAATGATACAAATAGATGATAAGCATAACATTATTCATAATAAAAACTCTAACATTCTCAATTCCATAATACTTTCCTATTTTCTTATGCTTCTACAAAATATTAAATGGTCTTATTATGAGAATATAAGTTTTTTTTATGTAGGGTGGGAAATAAAATAAATATATAAGTATAAAAGGAAAATGATAGGTAGAGTCTATTATCTCCTTGTACCAGAAGATGGTGAACCTTATCTTATATATCCTATCATATTCCTTTTATTTTCAATTAGGGTTAAACTCTGTTTACTACTCTCATGTTTCATGGTTTTCAACATTTAGTACATCAAGTTTTTTTCATCCCAGAGTCATACCTAAAGTGTTAATTTTGGAACAGTCTCATACATTCATTAGTCAAATTGTTAGTTCTCTCGTTAAATGATGACGTGGTGCCCAGGTGGACAATGTATGGGCGCCACGTGTCATTAAAAATATTAAAATAATTAATTAAATAAAAGTTAAAAAAAAAAACATCCCCCCCAACCCAGAAGAAGAAGAAGAAAATATTAAAATAATTAATTAAATAAAAGTTAAAAAAAAAAAACCATCCCCCCCCAACCCAGAAGAAGAAGAAGAAAAATCGAATATGCAACCCAGAAGAAGAAAGAGAAAGAAGGAGAAAAAGAAGGAGAAGAAGAAGAAGGAAGAAGAAGAAAGAAAAAAAACCGAATCTGCAACCCAAAAGAAGAACCTTCTGGGTACGCGTTCGCGGTCACGGGGCAGGGGGGAAGGCAGGTGGGTCGCCGGGGGGGGGGGGGAACGAACTGGGTTTGGGCTGGTTTTTTTTTTTTTTTTTTTTTTCTTCTTCTTCTTCTCGGTTGCAGATTCGTTTTTTTTTCCTTCTTATTCTTCTCCTTCTCCTTCTTTTGGGTTGCAGATTCAGTTTTTTTTTTGTTTTTAGTTTTCTTCTTCTTCTTCTTCTGGGTTGAAGATTCGGTTTTTTTTTCTTTTCTTCTTCTTCTTGTCCTTCTTCCTTCTTCTTCTCCTGGGTTGAAGATTTGTTTTTTTCTTCTTCTTCTTCTTCTTCTTCTGGGTTGCATATTCGTTTTTCTTTTTCTTCTTCTTCTTCTTCTTCTAGGTTGCATATTCGTTTTTTTTTTTCCTTCTTCTTCTTCTGGGTTGGGGGGGAGGGATGGTTTATTTTTTTTGTTTTTTTGTTTTTTTTTTACTTTTATTTAATTAATTAATTAAATATTTTAATGACATGTGGCGCCCAGTCATTGTCCACCTGGGTACCACGTCATCACTTAACAGGAGAACTAACAGTTTGACTAACGGATGTATGAGACAGTCCCAAAATTAACACTTTAGCTATGACTCTGGGATGAAAAAAATTTGATGTACTAAATGTTGAAAACTACGAAACATGAGGGTAGTAAATAGAGTTTAACCCTTTCAATTATATTCTCCATCATGCTCCAACTGCATCGGTTGGTTTTAGGGTTTATTTTATTTTATTTTCCTTTGTATTAAGATTTTAGTTCTCTCATCGTATTAAAAGATACTTGATCTTACCTATTACTTCTCTTTTATACCTATCTATTTATTTTAGGAAACTTTAACGAAAAGCTTCCGGTACTGTTCACAGCTTCCAGTACTATTCACTTTAACGAAAAACCACAATTTTACACTAAAAAGTCAATTATGATACTATTCACTTTACCCTTTATTTTGTCTCTATCGTTAAAACTCAAAGTTTTCAAATTCTTTTCATTAGTTTTTCTTTTATTTTATTTCCTAATTGCATAATTTTCACTATTACAAAATATGATCGATAACCTGGTCTCTCTTCACATTATATACTCCAAACACCACATCCTCGTATAATAGGATGATGATCCGTGGCCAGACAAACTTCATCGCCCCATGACATTGTTGTCATAGTTTGTCTCTAAGTAAGCAAATATCTTGTGTTTAGTGTTTACCAAAGAAAAAAAAAAGTAAGTAAATATCTTGTTTTTCCTTTGTCAAAACGGGCAATATTTTATTTTGCTATTCCTTTATCGGCGCCATTCGTGGCCACACAGTTTTGTGCGAAGCAAAAGTCAGGGGTTGACTTCTGTGGAAGCATCATGGATCAGGCTGCCCTGTTTCCTTGAAGCTGGCTATTTTGCGCTCATGTTCATAGTTTACTTGATGTAATTCGTCCTGACAACATAAAGTCAAAGTCACTCTTTATACATAAAAAAGAAAAGAAATATGTAGCTCCGAGAATCTTCGTCTTGGGGCCCACTTGTAGAAGAAAATTGCCACATACTCCTATTTTAAGTCCTAGTGTCAGGAATGTGGGACCCAAAAACAGAAAAACACATGTTGGGCAATGTCATCAATATTGTATTGTGTGGCACACGTTTATGGCAATGGTATAAATAAGTAGGAGTTTCAACTTCCGGTAAGACCTAAAAAACCAGCACTGGATCCCTCACTCAAACTTCAGAAAAAGAAAGAGAGAAACCAGAGAGAAAGAGTAGAAAGAATTTGATCAGGAAAAATGGTTAGAACTCCTTGCCGTGATGAAAATGGAATGAAGAAAGGTACGTGGACACCTGAGGAAGACAGGAAGCTAATTGCTTATGTCACTAGGTATGGCTGCTGGAATTGGCGCCAACTTCCCAAATTTGCAGGTGAGACACTAAGTGATTGATTAAGTGGATGAACTTGTACTTAGAGATAATGATTCAATTGCGTTTTAGTTGTTGAAGTATTTAGCTAAAGCGTTAATTAGTTCTTAGCACTAATTAATCTTGTTTTGCTTGAATTAGGTCTGTCAAGGTGTGGGAAGAGTTGCAGACTGCGGTGGATGAATTATTTGAGGCCAAACATCAAGAGAGGAAACTACAGCAAAGAAGAAGAGGAAACTATCATCAAATTACACGAAAAATTGGGGAATAGGTATAAACCCTTCTTAATTTATGTACCCAATGAAGACCTAATTGTTTGAATAACTTGGATCACATAAAATCATATGTTTTTAAGCCGCTGGGGTTAGCCCAGGAGTGAGGGTGGGCGTAGAGTGAGAGGTAGGAGTTTGCTATGTTCAGGGTCCGAAACCCTTAATGTAACCAAAAAAAAAAGAAAAGCCTTTTGTAATCCAGAATTCAGTAATTGCAGGATGGATCTAGTAGATCATTGCTTGTGTATTGGATTCAAACACCCTCCACCCACCCACCTAGATCATTGCTTGTCATAAACAAGTTGAAAATAAAATCTAGTAATTTAGCTTACCATAAAAATATCCCGGATTCAACTTGTGTAATTGATCTAGTAATTTAGTTTAGATCATTCCTCTTCAACTTGTGTCCCGGATCCAATTCCCCGTCCTCTTAATTCAGCTTAGATCATTGCTTGTCATAAACAAAATCTAGAATTCAGTAATTATTTAAGTGCAAAATATCTCATGATGTATATATGAATCTTGTTTTCCTCGATTTGCAGATGGTCTGCTATAGCAGCTCAGCTACCAGGAAGAACGGACAATGAGATCAAAAATCACTGGCATACAAACCTCAAGAAACGCACGAATAAAAAACAGTGCAACTCATCATTTTCATCATCAGCCACAAATACTGAAGAAACTCCCAGTTCCTCAAACCTGGAAGCAGCAGTGGATCAACCAATTAAGAAAGCTATTTTTCCAAATGCAGAAAGTACCACTGCCCTCCAAGTAATAAAAAAAAGTGATGATCGTGTTGATAATAGCTCCCAACTTTCGTCGTCTCCACAACCGTCATCAAGTGAAGTCTCGTCCATGAGTGCAGATGATAATTGGGTTAATTTTGTGGAAGACTTTAATCTTAGTTCCATGGAAGCATATGCAGACAATCAGTTCATCGATGATTTCTGGACCAAGCCATTTTTGGCTGATAATTCCTACATTCCAAGTGGGTTTTACACGCCCTTGATGGATTCCGAGTTTTTGTATCCACTATTTTGATGGAGATTTCTTATAATGTGAGATAGTCTTTTGTAATAAAAACCCAACACCGAACAATAGGTAATTAAGTTGGGATAATATCGGTGGCTAGGAGTGGGTTAGTGGCCCTTCTATCTCTCTGAATATCTGACAGTCTTATCTAATCAAAATATCAATTTTATGCTTGGAGATACAATGTAATTCCAGCATTTTGTGTTTTTTTTTTGTTAAATGTGTTTTAACTTTGTGATTATAAAAGTTCATAATGTAAACCCAGCAACATCCCTTTGATAAAGGATACCGTGTGTGTTCCCTATATATACATCTGAACAAGAACTCTTCTATTAAAAATTAAAACATGATGAAATTACATTTCTTTCTCCTATATCCAATTAGTACTAAACATGCTGGCGACTACCTTACTTGATGAATGGTACATTAACTGAATTATAACCAAGCTTGATAACCAAAAATAAACCATTATTCTCGTGGACAAATATAAACGTATTTGTACTTGGTATATTTCTATAGACTACAAATCTGCGGTAAAAGACATGACACGAGTATGGAAAAGAATTGCGCGGCTTATGCCCAACTCAACACGATGTACAAGGGACTTAATTAGTAATGCTCACCTAAGGTCCTCATTTGAGGGCATGTGAGATCCTCTTAGATTAATTTGACAATGGATTAATCAATAACCTTATATTATTCATGTTACATCCTAACAAAATAATAATCTCAATATAAAAAATAAAAGGTCTCACTCGTGAACCCTTCCATCTTCTTCCTCTACCCGTCTCTCTCTCCTTCATCCCATCTCTCCCCCTCCCCCTTCCCCTGAGCATTTTTGTGTGAGCAGCAGTACAAATGGAATCTATGTTTACAATGGAAGTCTCTTTTGAAATGATTGATTGCAGATTTTAGATTTTATGGAAGAAGATTTGAAATAGAACTTGTAGCCTAGAATGACCCAGGGAAAGTACATAACCTTCCATTTGTTTCTAAGAGCAGCTCCAGCGTGGGCTGGAGCCAGAGGGACATGCCAGGGAACAGGGCAGATAGCCGAGCAATCAAGGCTAGCATGTGCTGGTGAGGGAGCCCAAGCAAGCCCAGAGGGAGAGGCCCGTGGAGAGTTGCTAGCCCGAGAGCCCGGGGTGGGTGTGATGCAAGGCTAATGTCGCCCTGACGTCAGCCACGTTTTTTTTTTTTTTTGCTTCAGTCGGTGGGCCCGTGTGCGCAGGCGCGTCAGTAGCCGTTGGAGGCCACGTGGCCCATTGGCGTCCGATGGAGCTCAACGGCTATTGATTTTAAACCGTTGGATTTCCAACGATAATAATAATTTCAAATCCTTATTTAATTGCAACCGTTGGATCTAAGATCAACGGTCCACGTTATTCACCTTTATAAATAAAAAAAAAACAGTTTAAAAATCAGAAATATTACTGTTGTGCCACGTGGCACAATCTGGAGTGTTGAAATTCAAAATTTTTTAATCCAACGGCAGAGATTAATTAGGTGAATAAAAATTAATTAGGTGAATAAAAATTTTAAAAAAATGTAAAAAATTAGTAAAAATCGGAAAAAATAAATGAAAATTTTGTAAAAAAAATTGATTTAAGTTTTCTATAAATACATTCTCATTATCTTTTACCTTACACCACAATTTTATATTTTCTCAACTACTTTTCGGATAATGACACGTGACGCAATGAAAACGATTAAAAATCTTATCCGAAATTACAAATAAAATTATTTTGTATTATTTTATAAATAAATAAAATACTAATATTTTATTACCTATTGTCAGGGTTATTGAAGTGCAACGGTTGAGATGTGAAAAACAATTACTATTCATTAAGGGTAATTACTGTTCATTAGATGGATAACATAGTGTATTGCCTGGAAAGGCTCCCACGCTAGAAATGCGGTAAAGAGAAGGATCTGGATGGTGAAGAATTTGAAAAAAATGATGGAAGAACGATAGGGTGATTCTAGCTATGTAACCTATGCTGCAAATAATTATTAGAACAAAAGGCCAATTGATGGAAATGTTTTGCCAACTGTTAAAAATCCAATCATCTCGAAAGTGAAATGCATGATATGACATTAAATGTGATGTTACATATTTTTTCTTGGTAAAAAAATTCAGACGGAGAAGGGACGGGGAGGGAGAGAGAGGGGATGGAGGGGAGGGAGACGGGTAGGAAAAGAAGATGAGAGAGTTTGACATGTAAACCATTTTTTCTTTTATGTATTTAATTCAAATTATTATTTTGTTAGAGTGTAACAAGAATAATAAAAAGTTATTAATTAATTCATAATCAAATTAATCTAAAGATTTAAATAAAAGAAGACCTTCCAAGTCCATGCTCCAGATGTTATTTGAAAACCCATAATTTGCTAATTCTTGTAGGTTTAGTCGTAGGTTTTAGCGATAGGTTCCATGCTTTGTGGCCCCCACATAAATAGAAAATTAGAAATTTTCTCTCTACATCCTTGTTAGTTGTTCGTTTTTATTTCTTCCACCCTCTATATCCATCGGCATGGTCATTATCTTAGAAATTATTATTTTGACTATTACGTTAACTTATGTGCCGCCGCCATAATTGATTATTCAACATGATTAATTGCACAATATGTTGTATCCGTTTTATATATATGCATGTGATTCACACAACACAATCTTAATTATTAGTTAAGCTTATTCATTAGAAAAAAGTAGGTATAATTAGAATCCCTACAATTTTTTAACAATGTTTAGATCAAACATTTGTTTCTTTTTAAGATTTGATTAAGATGCCACGTCAGCATTTGTTGTTTATTTAAAATTATATATCTTTTTAAGTTAAAACTCTAATTATCGGTTTCCAAATATGTCCTTTTAAGAGTTTTTTTCTTTATTTTTTTTATATGACCTCTTTTTAAGGGGCATATTTTCTGGTTGTTGATAGTTAGAAAAAAACTCTTAAAAGGAACCTATATACATACCAAAATGTACATTAAATAACGTACCAAAGCACAAAGCAAAATGTACCTATATTATGCGCTCATGATTAAGCAATAGTTCGATTGCAACTACAAAGTAAGAGGGTTAGAAGAGGAGTGGAAGACCTTTTTTTTTCATAAGAAAAACAAAATCATGCACGAGGGACATAAGTTATCATGGAGGTGGAAAATTTTTCTTGTGGGAAATATTTATGATTAATATATATTATGAAATTCAAATGCTTCTTATCTGTAGGGAGGATATGCATTATGCAATATTTGCTTTGATTCAAACTCTGAGATATAAGTTAGGCAAGAATTTAGGATTCTGGGCATCAATGTTTTGCTTTGATAAAATCTGTGGCAGGTTTTGTAATTTAAGTACTATAAAATGGGCACATAAAAATCATGTGGCACCAAATTTGTAGGAAAATGTTTAATTAAATTTCCAAAGTGAACAAATGTTTAGTCTAAAAAATTAAAAAAATCAAGTGCCTATATCAAAACGCCCCAAAAAAGTAACTAGCTAGAAGCTTGAAAATTATTCCCATGGTTTCTTCGAAATTCTTCTAGAGATCTATACTTCTTTTTTCAAAGCGAATTGTAGTGAAAACATTTTGTGTGTTGTGAGCAAGTCTGAGAGAGATTAATTAAGACTTAGGGTTTCAACAAACAAGGTTTTTCATGCACTCTAAAACACGATCAACAAATAGACCTAAGTACTATTATAAATCCTGTGTTCTCTGTGTGTTTTGGTTTGTGGTTTGTGGTTTGTTCTGGTGTTTTCTTTAAGTAGGTTGGTTTTATTGTTTGCATATATGGCGGTCTTTGACAAGACCAATACAGACATCTATACAAGATTAATAGAGTGTGAAACCGAATATTCAAATAGTGTGAAGCCGCCTACTAAATTGTTGTTGTCTTCTATCGGGGAGACTTGTATATGTAATTAACGGAGAAAGAGTTCTTTTTCTGAATCTATTGCTTCTTAGTCAACCATTGATGACATCGCAACGTTACGTCATTTTCTGTGGAGATATATACTATCGTTTCACTGAATCATCATTTCATCACTACATGTGATGTCAGCTTCATCAAATTAATATTTACTCACTATTAGGTTCTATGATTAATCGTTTAATTAAGTGCGGATCCTCTATCCAAATTTGCGTGTGACATGATAAGATAAAGATGTGTGTCCACATGCGGTTATCTAAGTTAAAATATTAATTTGGTCGAGATCAAAACGATATGTGTGATCTCCTCTACTTGATTGTTTCTTTGTTGCGGGTACGATATCCTGGTTGCGTGATTTGGCCTTGCCAAATTACTATAGATTGCCGTCTGCCAATGCCATGGCCTCCTTTAAATATATGCAAAAACATAAAATAGAATTGCTATACATAAAAAGAATAAGTTGGCTAATGCTATGGAGACTAAAGTTGTAAATAAAATTTTGCAAACTAAATTATGTGTCACCAATAGAAAAAAGCATGTTTGTCATCACTTAAATGATAATCCAATCATTAACTTCTATTTCATTTAGTTTACAAAATTTAGTTTACAAATTTAGTCTCTCTAACATTACTCTTATAATATTTGTGGTCAAAGATAAAAAAAAATGATAGGTTTACTACATTTTACATTTTGAGGTTTGATGTGATTTTGTTTGTGAACTTTAACGAAAGGCACCTGGTACTGTTCACTTTTAAATGGGGTTTTATCACAAAGGGGTCTCTGAAATTGAGCCTCATCATCAAGATGATTCCTGAAATTGAAAATCAATCAATGTAGTTCCTGAAAATAGGTTTCGCAAATCAGTATGGTCATTATGTCACAATTATGTTAAAAATTCTGTTAAGTGCTGATATGACACATAAATAAGTTTTATAAGTCGTTTTTTTTTCCCTCACAAATGGTCCTTGAAATTGACCTACGACATCAAAATGGTCCTGATAGGATTAAAAGCACACCACAAAGTAGCACACAAATGTCTTATTTTATTTTCCTTATTAACACTAAGATTTCTCAATTGTAACATATGAAAATAAGAGTCTTTCCCGCAGAATATTGTTTTATCTAACTACCTAAAATGTCACAAAAACTGGTTGTTGTCCCTACTGACCAGCCACCAAAAAATAATTATTAGACCGACTTACACTTATCTAAATTCTACTAAATTTTATATACAGATACTAGACACACAGAGCTACACTCACACAAATTTTTGGAATTTTTGGAGTTGATTTTCTATTTAAATTAAATCGAACACAAACATGATAGAAACA